ACCTCGCACGACAAGTTGAAGTTGGGTGGAAAAAGTCTAGAAATATATCAGACATTGATGCAACACGTTGCTAGGGATAACTCAGGCTTAAGCCTGGCAAGGAGGAGAGACGCTACTTGTTTCTTGAGGTGGATAATGTCGGTGATGACTGATAGCACCATCCTAGCATGTCAACAAAGAGCAATTGGGAGCAAAGCAATGGAAAGGAGAGTCTCAGCAGTCATCTTGAATGTATACCAGAGTACTGGGATAGAAAAGGAGGATGGTTCCAGGCAGTCTCTAGAGAGCCACAGGAAGTTAGATGAGATACGGAGATTCTACAACAGGAAGTTCGAGGAGAAACACGACGTGCACCGTAACTTGGCCTCGTCAGGAGAGTTCTTGAAACCCAATAAGAAGGGAGAATACCAGTATGTGTCTGGAGTGATGGGGATGGCGTACAACCCTTTCCTGGACTCGGAAGCCGGAGGCGCTCACGGAAACTACGAGGTGGCGGAGCTACTAAAGTTCTGGACAGAGAAGATAGTGGAAATAGACACTGTAGAGAGAGAGACCTAGCTTGGGTTTGATTCTCGAGAAGACACCAGAGATGATAAGTGTGCCGCGCTCAAGTAAAAGAGTCGAACTGAAGACGGGTAACGGGAATGGCATGTTGGTCACGAATCTGGAAGTGGTGTGGAAAATGCTGAGGCCCTCCTGGTGTCTGATTGAGGAAGTCACGGAGCGAGTGAGATTAGCACCAGCGGAGGACGAAGATCTGGCGACATTGAGCATAGTGCACAGACTGATCCTGCCTCAGGCGAAGGAGTCAAGTGAAGCGACGAGTAAACTAGGGTCGGTGAAGAAAACGGAGCCGGGCAGTTGTCTTGACTCGACGTGTGGAAATGGCGAGCACACCTGTGATGGACGGTCATGTGTCAGGATACAGTCCTTCCAGAAAGAAGATCTAGTCACCTGGTTTGAAGACATTACCGAGAGGGAGAAGAGTGAAATACAGATAGTGGCTGAGTGTTACGCGAGTACCACGGTAAACCTAGCAACAGCTCTGGGATTCTTCTCGAGAATGTGCAGTCTCCAGTCACTGGAGAGGCTACAGTCAGAACACCACTTGGTGACCGCGTTGAGTGTGGAGTCATGGCCCGGGGTGTTGCGGGTAACCCAGAAACACATCAAGAGCTGGAAGGTTGGACTTGAAGCGGAAATGGGATTTCCCATGAGCGAAGCCTATGGTCTACCTCTAAATGCGAAGTCCTTGGTGGGGTCAGTGATGGCCAACCTATGTGGCAGCCACTATCCATTGAAAATGGCGATGGTGGAGGTATCCAGCCAAAGGGTATTGATAAACAAGGCCTTCTCAGCGCCCAAGTGCGTAATACTGGCTCGGATGTCGCATCATTCACACCGGTTGTTGAGGAAAATCCGAGGGACAGTGCCGAAAGAACAGAGGGACGACTTGAGTGAAATCTGGGAGGAAGAACTTTTGGGTTTGGAAAGTGAAAACACAAGTGACCACGAGAGACAAAACGTGATCGGAAAACCTATGGGTGGTGCTCCAAACCTGGAAGAGAACGACGCGATACACGAGAAAATGATGGAACTTGAGCCTCTCCTAGAAGCCTCGGGAGAGCGCAATCTTAGGAGCATTGACCTCACACATGGGGAATGTCCATGCCACTGTCTGGCACAAACAGTGTGGTACCCGGATCACGCGAATCTCTGCCTGATCTGGGATGTGGAAGAAATCAAGTCGTTAGGACGGCCCGATCATCAGCAGAAGGTGACCATCTTGGTGGTGAGCACGATGCTGGCTCTACGATGGATTGAAGAAAATGTAACAAAATATCGGAAATCGAAGACGCCAACGGCAGAGTCGATTTACGCGATAGATTACAGCAGGAGACTTGAGTTGTTTAAGACTGCATGCAAGGTATTCGCCATACCAATGGAAGTCAGACACGTATGGAGCCGGTTAAGGTTCTTTCCTTGGTTTCGAGCGACGTTGACGTCCTGGTCATACATGGTAACGAAGGATCATATGAGGAAATATCAAAAGGAATATCGACAGTTCCAGGCCGAGATAGGACCGGAGGCTTTCAAGAGACCTCTGCTGACCCATCGAAATGCGATCACGACGGGGAGGAAAAGAGTTGGTAGAGTGTCCAGAAACAACACCAAGGCGAGAGAGTCGAAACTAGAGGAAGACTTGGCGAAGAAGGTGAGCCTGAGTCTTCACAATTCCTTCTGTTTGAACCGAGAGTCGAGGGTGAAGAGTTTGCCCAATCAAGCGAAGAGATTGCAGGAGCAAAGGGAATGGATGCGGTCCTATGAACAGCTGAAAGCCTGGGAAGAGATCGTGATTAGCTCCGATGACGAAGAGGCACTGTTGAAGCAGATCACGGTGTCAAATACATCTGGGTCTGGTACCTCGAAGGCGAAGAACGCGAGGTGAGCAGGTGGCTCAATGGGGAATTCTAGAGTCTTGAGTCTTGAGAGGGAAGGAAAAGGGCTCGAGGGTGAACTTGGATGAAATCTAGATTCACGAAAAAGAAATTTTAACAAATGAGATATTGTTATTAACATGTTATATCTATTATATAAATCAAAATGCTGCATGACAATTTCCTGATTGAATAGGACAAAAGAAATTTTAAATTGCTAGCTTAAAAAGTGAAAATTCAAAGGTGCAGGTGTGTGCAGATTTTGATTGCTGTTTAGCGATAGTGTGAAATTTTTACATGGTTGTGAATTTTGGGGTGTAGATAAACTTAAGTTTGCTGCAAACTTCTTTAAATGACCACTGGCACTGTATCTTGAGTAACACTCGAGTTTCTGGGGATTCACTGACAGACAGCAGCACGCAATGAGGACATCGATCTTGATTCCGGGGAGTATGTGCCAGTCGGTCATATCTGGAAGTTTGACCTTGAGGAACACAAAAATACGTGGTTTTGGAATGAAGTTTTATTTTTCAAAAATTCGAATTGGACAAGTCATGCTAGAGTTTCTCGCGACAACTAAAAAATGAGAAAATAATAAAATCAGAACAACCGAATTACAATTGCGGGAAAAATGTCAAATAAACACAGTGGGAAATTGCTATTCGCAATTTCCGTCGTAGAAAACGAGAGTAGAGTTGTCCTATTTGATATAGGAGACCGAACAAACACAATAGCAGAGCAAGAATCAACTGGACCAGAGTGAACCTTCAACGGAAAGGCAGACAACTAAAGTTTCCAATGGTTCACATCCAAAACTACATTCTTGATTTAAAACTTATTTCCTTTGATTGGAACTCATTATCAGAAAACTTCTTGAGTTATATTCGATTATATTTATGCTAGAGTTATTAATTAGCTTAACTACTCTGTTTCTCAAGTGTGGTGCTATGTTAGTACCAAATTTAGTTTTCCCGAGTGCATTTTATGATAAGCATGTAGAGGTAAGGCGAGTTTTAGGTTGATCCATCTGAAATGGATCAAAGTTCCACTGTCCAATAAAAAGTAACTTAACGGATTGTTCCGACCCTGTTTTTAACGGCGTTCGTGTATTTTGGGTATTTTGAGACCTAAGTATGGGGACGTTCTTATTTTCTAGAGTGGGGGGGTATTTTGGTAGTGGCCTTCAAGCTGTAACAGGTTCCATTCTCATGTTGCAAGCGAACCGAATTGGCTCCGACCGTTCTTGAGGTAGAAAAACACAAGAGATAGTGTCCCTGACTCTTGAGCCAATGGTTATAGGGCCTATTTTTCTTAAGCCTCATATGTGACCGAAGTAGGCGACTGTTACAGACCTAGCTAGCTCCTTTTGATTAGTTTCATCTAGCATGTTTAGAATTTCAACCCCATATCTTAAAAAGTTACGATTAATTAGTTTCTATAGAGAAAACGACAAAAACGTGAAAAAATCGTTCTTGGCTCGTTCAAATCGAATGTCAACTTATTGTTCATAGCCCAGTGCATACATCTATTGTCATTCGTCTATCTAGTAAAACCATAATGTTTTGAACACTCTTTGCCCCTGTACGGAAAATGTCGGTTAACATAGCAGGGAAGCTGCGCTTTGCAAACACCACGGACAAAACGACAAACTGAGCTTTAAAAAGCCCAAAAATATATACAATCATAAGTAGAAACTGTAAAAAAAAATTGAAAAAAGCACTCTAGGAGTATCGAATACCCAACATCCCATTTGAGAGCCCAATTTCAAAACATTAACGGTACTACCATTTTATGCATTTTCAAAATAGCCATAAAAACGGTAAAACGCATGACATTAAGTTTTCAATAGTAAAGTTCTATGCATCTAAGTGCCACCGACCAAACTGGACCAAAAATTATACAAGTCAACTTGGAAAAATGAACTCATATTATAGCACGTGTGGTTGCCTGCCTAAAAAACGAGCTATTAAAATCAAATCTCAAAGTGTGATGCAAAGAATGATAACTTTTTGTTCGGAAAAAATCTAGCGGCCAATGAATTAACTTTCGGCAAAAATTTAAAAACATAGCCAACAGACATTTGAAAAAAAGTCGATGAACTTAAGTAAAACTACTGACTTGTTTTTTTTTGAAAAGCGAATTTTTCTTCAATTTTCAAAGAAAAAAAGGCAGCCCTAAAGCTCTTGGAATTTTCTAGACATTTATGAATGAACTTTTTTCGATAAACTTATCCCAGTAGTAAATTTTATGTTTCGCTGGGAAATCAGAAAATAAATTCCACTTTAGAAGCTAGAAAATAACGTTTTTTGTTACCTTTACCTTTTTGCTGTTCCATAGAGGAGCTTGCCTTCCTTTAAAGAAAGGAAATGCATTAAACTTAGAAAAAAAATCAAAATTCAAACCGCAAAAAAATAAATTTGAGGCTAAAAAAAAGTAAATTTGAGAAAAAAATGAAAAAAAAATCATCGCGACCTTCTGTTAGAGTCTGATTTACGTTCATCGACTCTTAAACACTTTTATGCAGAAATGCATCAACTTTAGGAAAACTTTTTTGCAGTATAGTTCAAGTTCAAGTCAATTAAATTTAAGTAATTAGCCATAAAGTCGATAGCATCTAAAATAAATCTAAATTAGAAAATAAATTTCGTTTAATCAAACGCTGATGTTTGATATGTCAATTAATTAACAACCATAAGAGCATTATTTTTATTCAATTTAAGATTATTTTTTCTAGTTTTTTGTCAAGAGGTCTGGATCATCTTAAAGTATGTTAGTGTCAGTTATTTTTCAAGCAGTTTAGACCAGATTTTTTCCCAATTGATCGTTTTTTTTTGGTCTTTTGAGAGAATTTAGTTAGGTCGATTTATCACATTCAGATTCATTCAATAATACTTTTCGTTCACTTTGTGTTCACGTCCTTGATGACGTAGTAATGACGTCATAATAGCAACTTGCTTCCTTCCTCATTGGGCGTCGTCTGCCTTGTGGGGATTTGGGTCGTCTATCTCCTGCGGATTGTACCCTGTGGATGACTTCACTGTTCCCCCCTTGGTAGTTTTCAGCCATCGGGTCGATTTGGTCAGTTTGTTGTACACATACACGCGGCCAGTCGCTGAAAATAAAAACAAAACTTAATATGACTTAATTTAATGTTTCAAACTTGAAAATCAATTGTGGGGAAAAGTGGAAAAGTGCAAATCTGAATATTTTATGTGAATTCTTAATTAGTTTTTATAGGAAAAGTGCTGATCATTTTGATTGCATAACGAATCTAAATATGCATCAACAAAGGTTGCAATTCGCTCACCAGCAAGGCAGCATAGTTTACAGCAACTTATTTTTGTTGAACTTATCTTTTGAAAGGTTTCCCGGATCGCATACTTTCTTGTACGTTTTATTTAAGACTATTTTTGCATTGGCAATTCAAGAAAATGAAACTTTGATATGTAAATTTCAGTGGCTTGGGCAGAAATTTTGCTAGGGGAAGGGGGCGGTTGTTCAAAAAATTTGAACTATAGTTCAACCTTAAGTAATTAACCTCGTGGTCAGGCCTCTGGCTGGTTTAACTTCCGGGAAAAAATAATAATTTGAATATTTTGAATAACTGATTGAAACATCTAAAATGGAGGAGTGTTTGTGTCGTGTATATACATACCTGGGTCTATGGCCTTGGCAGTGGCCAGTTTGCTCATGAGTATGGCCTTCCTTATGGCCTTCTTCCAGTTTCTCCTCGCCTCCATGTCAGGTCCACTCACACTGGTCACCTCCTTCGGTCTCCTACACACGAAACGCACAGGGGGAATTCAAACTACAAATAGGGGAAAACAATGCAATTCAAAATGTAAGGGAGGAATTTTTATTTTGAATGCAAAGAGAGGAATTCAAAATGCATAGGGGTAATTCAAAGCTCTTCAAACTGCAAAGGAAAAATTCTAAGCAAATCAAAATGCAAAAGGGGAAGGTTACTGTGCAAGTAGGGCAGAATCTTCCGACCAGTCTTAAGAAATTACAACAATTTTTTTTTTCAAATTAGAGTAGTTTTTTCGGCGTGGTGTGATAAAGGAATCTGATCGAAAAAGTGAGCTTAGGCATTTTCGTCTGTCACTGTAAAAATTGCAAATTGGAAACAATTTTTGAAGAAAAATAACAAGAAAAACAAAAATCAAAAAAAAAATTTTTTTTTAATTTTTCAAATGTTTTTTTCTCAAATTAATGAAATTTTTGATTGCTAAAATGAAGCCAAAAACTCCAAAAACTAACTTCACTTGAATGAAATTAAATTTCCAAGGCTCAAACTAAGCATAAAAAGCTAATGTTAGCCTTCTTACTCGCTCGAAATCAGACGAAAAATCAAAAATTTCAACCGGTTTTTCTCGACACTGGGTAAAAATTGTTTGAAATTTTTTAATGACGTTCGAATCACGACTGAAAGGGCTTTAATATGATTAATCACTCAGCTTAGGCCGATGATAATTTGTGGTAGCTGATTTTGCGTGGGAAAAAAAGAAACAACTGAAACACACCCGAATACAAAGTTGCTCCCCATTTTCAATAGTCAGAACAATAAACGAATAAGCTTGTTTTACCGTTGGGTTAGTCATTAACAGATAGTTACTAATAGAACATGCTTGATCCAAGTATAAATATTGAATACTCCGCTTATTGAATCTTTACCACTCCCCCGCCTTTGAACTTGATTTTTGAAAAACTACTGTAACATTGTCATAATGCAATGAAACTTGGCATGGTGAACAAATTACTAATTGTGGGCTAATTTTTCTTTATACCCTACTATGTAACTTTATGCGCTTAGCCATAACTATAGAAATCAAAACTTTGAAAGATGGGGAAAAAGAAAGGAGTCCGCTTATTTTAACCAAGGTGAACAACAAAAAAATGAAAATAAAAAAAAACAGCGGGGTATATTCTGAATTTGTACTAGACTGGTGATTATATATCAAATTTTTGAAACTGCTGTGAAAATTTCAAAGAAATTATCAAAACATATGCATATGAAAAATTGGACTCTTTCCTTTTGCTAATCCTGCGAGTTTTCACAAGTAATTTTTCAGTTTCACATGCTATTTTGTTTTTAAAAAAAGTTGGAATGCGGACTAATTAGGCTATGGCATACATAGTCGGTCTTCATACTTAACCTTGTAAAACTTATGTGAGGTGGGAAGGAAAAGAGCAAAAAATATATTTTGTGCACCTTTTGCTCTGAGCAAAAAAGTGTTTTGGTAAGGTGTGAGGTTGGATGACCAAAATCAATATCGTAATTTAGTACAAAAACTTTGATAATTGTGAGAGAAAAACTGGCAAAAATTAATTCACGCGTGCACATGGCTTTCCTGCCGAATTTAAGCGCAGCGTGGGAAGCATTCGCTACTTGTCCATGCCCAATGTACTCGATAAACTTGTAGTGTTTTAGCTGCTTTTCGATAAATTTCCGTTTCTCCGGAAACTCAGATTTGTAGCACGCCACTGTTGATAAATTGCAGCCACTTGCCTCGCTGCGCTTATACTCGGCGCTATAATTAAGCTAATATTTCGGCTATCCGGTTATGGATAATTTTCGGCTATCCAAATTTTCGGCTGTGTGGGCTCAAGCAGACTCGTTGGGCACTGCGTGGGTCAAAAACCATTTATTCAAAAGTTCTCCTCAAATACAAGGGTTAGTGTGAAAGGTGAATGGATTGGCAGGAGCAGCCTTAAAAGCACCCCGTGAAAAGCAGTGATAATTTGTGCGGTGAAACGGTGTTATATTTACCAATTGTAGGTTTTCGGTCTAAGTTTAGAGTAAAACTAATTTACAATTTTATCAACTGATTGACATTTAATTTCTGGAAATATCACATCGATCCTTGAAATCAGTTTAAAAATTATTTAGTTATAGCAACATTGAAAAAACTAACTTAAAATTGATGAATATGTCTTAATGTATTTCAAAATGACCTTTTTATACAGTTAATGCCAAACTGCTGGCAATATTTACGATTTTGAGCGTCTTAATCGGTCAAAAAACAATGCTTTGTCGGATGATTAGATTATTTGACACAATGTTTACGTCTTGAAATGAGTGAAAAATTGGTTTCACGCGTCAAAATGAGCAGTTTTAGGGCGAATTAACTACTTTTAAATTCGTTGGCCTAAATTGATATCAAAAATTTGTTATTATAAAAAGTAGCTTAAAGTTGGAAAGACAAAATTAATTTAAATGAGCAATCTTCCAGTTTTTGAGCTATTTCTGCATGCAAAAATTAAATTTTTAGGTGAGCTTGAGGCATAAATTTCTGTCAGAAATTTCAGTTCTTTTTTTTTTTTTCAATTTTTTTTTCAGACTTGCTCTTTTTTTTCAATTTTGTCTGATGGAATTTTTTGCTTCTAATTATGTACACCAATTACTCACATGAATAGCTTCCTTATGGCGTAGAATCCGACTGCGAATAGAGCAGCAAGAAGGCAGAGTGCGAGAATAGAGCAGAGAACAATGACTGCTATGCCCCCCGCTGTCTCCGCCCACGGACCACCACCGGTGGAGGGGATGGAGTCATCCCTTGCTATGTAGTACACTGGGTTGCTGGTCTCACCCAAGGGGTTCGTGTAGGTGTACGAATCTAAATACATTTTTCATATACATTTTTTCGTTAGTCTCGTTAGTTCGCAAATCGGCAAAAAATCTTTTTTTAAAAAATCGTTGTTATCATTGTTTTTTCTTCAAGATTCTTTGCATTTTCTTGAAGAATCTTTGATCTCTTCCGAGATTCTTTGGTAAGAACTTGCCAAGACAGCCAAAACTTTCTTTAAGATTTAACCAAGATTCTTCAAGATTTTTTAAATATATCAAAGATTGATGGACTTGGGCCCTCATTTGATTGGTTAAGAATCTAAGTGAACTTCAGTCACAAGTCAGTCTCAATGTACAATCAAAGTCTCTACCGGTTAAAATTCACCTTTTTGTTCCGGCTTCTGAAGAAAATGGTGGAATATTTATGCTTGGGGTGCTTTTTTTATTCAGTCAATTTTCGGATTTTTAAGTATGAGTTTTTGACAGAACTTGAAAAAAAAAAACTCATCACAAAAACCTTTTTTCTTTTCAATTATTTCGTCAACTATTCAATCAAAAAACTTATAAATTGGCCTTAAGGTGCAACAGTGTTATACGAGCAGTCTTGTTGTTGCGTTTTCTGGAGTTGTTTTTGCGATCTTATTAGAAAGTGAGTTAGTAAACACTTTGTTTATTTTTTTGGATATCTAAATTAGACAAATTAAATCATTTATTGTACACACTGTTTTATTGCAACTTTCGCGGAAAGAGACACGCAATTCAGGGGGCGGATCTAGGATTTTCTCGAGGGGGGCGGATTTTCAAAAAAAAAATTTCCAAAACTTAAACGACCTTTTTTTTTTTTAGGTCGACCAAATTGATTTTTCGAGCTCTCCCAAAGCACTGTTTTGCCCCTATTTTGGCTAAATTTTCTGCGCCGCAGGCAAATTTTTGAAAAAAACTGTCAAAAAAGCCGTTTTTGGGCACTTTTTGAAAAATTTTGACAAAAAAATCGCATTTTTTTGGCGCGCGCTCCCCCTCAAAGTTAGTATATATTGGCGCCGAAGACGCCTTTAGAAAAATTTTAGGGTCGGTCGGCCAAAAATGGATTTCTGAAAAGTATCAAAGGGGGGACCCTTTGGGTCGGCAGGGGGTCGAATCCCTGAGGGGAGGGAACGTCCGCAACCCCCCCCCCCCCCCCCCTTAATCCGCCCCTGACGAAATTCATGCTTGAATTAATTTTTATTTGGACTTTTTTAAATAACAGCTTAGAAAAACTTTTTTATATCCTTCAAGGATGCTGATGTCATGAGCTCAAATTCATCAAATAATTTACCTGTGATTATTTTTCGTGAAGGTATGAGTTTAAAATGGCCTTTTAGATATAATTAACTCAAATAACCGAGTTTGTGATACTAACTAATATAACTCGAAAAATTAGAACGTGAAAAACTGGTGTTTTGTTTTGCAAAACTTAGTAAGTGATATCCAGAACAGAAAATGGAACGCTTTGTTGCGGATTCCCAAACCGAGCCTTCTTTCCTTCTAACTTTCTTGGAGTAAATTCCAGAGAGTAACATTTTAATTAATAGCTGAACTCGCGGGATCCGCAGACTTCTTTTACGTGTATAAACTTGAATGGAGTTCGATGAGTTTGCGAAATCTTTGCAGGAATATTTTGGATTTTACTCAATAAGTGTGTGGATTTTTTGACGGAAATCAATTAACTTACTGATGTAGTCGGGTTCGGGATCTCCGTTCTCGTTTACCGCCAGAAGGTCAAACAGCTGGTCTTGTGGCATGAATTCCATGACACTGTCCAGATTCTGGGCTGAACTGGCGCCGTCGCCCATCACCACGTACAAACCCACTTCAGTGTCACTGGAACAACACAATTTGATTCTTCATTAATCTGATTTTTTTTCTAGATATCAATTCAGTACAAAATAACCAATGAATAATAAACAAACAATATGTTTTCAGGCAGAAAATATACAAAAGTTCACAAAAACTGACACTTGAGTAAACAGACAGTTGGAAAAGAGTCAATGAACGCAATTAAAGGCTGATCGTATTTTGAAAAAATTTCAACTTTCGAGTTTCAACAAAAAAAAAATGCCCTTAAAGCTCTTTGAAATTCTATAAAAAATTATGATAATCTCTTTTTGATAAAATCACCCCATTTTGAGAAAACTGGATTATAATTAAAATTCGCTAGGAAATCTGAAAATTAAATTCCAGTTTCGAAACTAGACGTCAATCACGTTTTTTGTGACCTTTTAACTTTTGCTGTGCCATAGTGGAGTTTGCCTTCATTTTAACAAAAATGAACTCAACTTATAAAAATCACAAGTCAAACCGCGAAAAAAAATCAAAATTGACTCTGAACTTAGTTTGAAGACTGTTCCCTAAAATAAAACAGAAAAATCATCGCAACCTATAGAAGAGTTTGAACTACCTTCATCGACTCTTAAACATATAGTTGCAATGCTAAATATCCCCATCTCAACAATAACAATCATTCCAAAATTCGAAAAAGATGAAGATATCCAAAATACGAAACTTTGTGAGACTACGTTAGATCTCATTTTTTTCTGTTGATTCAAATCGTTTTGATGGTAAATTTTCATGGTGACCATAACGTTGTTCTTGACTTCTCATGAATTTTAATTTTGATTACTTTCTGATGAACTTATTTTTCCGACCATGGAAAATGAGGATGAAATTAGTATGATGTGTTTAAATTTTTTCCACGCAAAATCACGAACCACAAATAATCATCGGACTGAGTTGAGTGATATATCATATTAAAGCCGTTGCAGTTGTTAGTCGAATCACATTTAAAATTTTCAAAAAAAAATTCCCAGTGTCGAGAAAATCGGTTTGAAATTTGTGATTTTTTTTTATTTTGAGCGAATAAAGCTAGCGAGCAGTTTTTTAATTGCTTTAAGGCCTACAATAGCAAAATTTACACAGCGCCGAATCGTTTCGGATTTGAATCTGCGACCTACCAAATTCGAGACTCACGCAATAATTGTTTTGCCACGAATGCTTAAGAACCCCAAAAACTAGCCTCCAATAACACAGCTAAATATGCTAATAAATTGCCAATTTGATGCAGCAACATCATTAGCACCAAATAGAAAAAAATTTTTGCATGTAATAAAATGTAAAGATTAAACCATATACATTTCAAAAAAAAGTGCGAGATACATTGAATTGGAAAATTTCTGAAAACGAGCTTTTTATCATTGTACTGCTGTTTGAAACAAATAACTTCTTCATGCGGTTCATTTGATGAATTAAAAATGCATCAGCAATGTTAATTTTTTACTAATGAGATGTCAAAGCCCATATGATAAAATACTGCTACCGCAGCCTACCGATTCAAAAGTGCCACCAAAAGTAGCACTTATATTTGCGACTTAGGTTGGACAAAAAAAGTTCGTACATATACACTTCGCTTCGCAAGTGTAGTGTAAAAACTTAATTTTACCTCCGCAACGTAACTTTGCTTTAAGCATTTGAGCGCTTTTTTGGCATAAAAATTTTCAAAAATACAAAAAACCGCAAAACTTGAAAAAAATTTCGAATTTTTTTTTCGTTTTTTAAGTAATATATCTTCAAAAAAATTTTTCAATTTGCCTACTTTTCTATGGCTGTCGAAAATAACTAATTTACAGTTTTTCGTTAAGCTTCCGTTATCACACAAAGACGAAAAAACGACAATAATTCGATTGTTGTATTTTTTAAGACTATGGTCGAATTATTCTGTGCTACTTAATTTGGTTTGTAACTCTGATTTGTGAATTTGAGTTTCCCACGCAAAACTGTAAGCAAAATGACTTTCAGCTCGCGCACATGTTTATACTCCTAATTAAAAACTGAATTTAAACAATTTGAAAGAATAAAAGAAGAAGAGCCATAATAAACGTATCTCTAATTATAGATCGTGTAATTTAAAAAAAAAACAGGATAATATTTTTTGTGTGTTTTGTTACCTTATTAAAGATCGCTTCTGTCTCGCAGCCGGAGTTGGTGAGTTGAACCGGGTGGGGTCATGATATCCACAGTATGCATCTGGGTATCCCTTGCTCTGGATATAGGCAGTGCAGCTGGCCAAGAATCCAACAGAGTCAGCATCGAATCTCTCGAAGGCCATGTTCAGTCCAACCCGCACTGTGTGTTGCCACGGGGGGAAAGTGTCGATCCTAGACAGACGAAAAAAGAAGTTAGACTAAGCAAAAAATCTCCCTCGTAACTTCTTTTCCCCAAAAATCTCCCCAAAATCAAATTGGGTTGAATATCCTTTCCTTGATTGACTCTTTTCCAGTCCCTCCCTATTATTTTTCCTGAATTCAATAATGAAAATCTATTTAAAATAACATAAAATGACAAAAATCTATTTATTTTTTATTTCATAAATTGCTTTAAAACGTGTCAGCGCGAACAAATGAACAAATTTTACAACGTTTCTTTTATGCAAAATGTCGCGTGAACAATTTTTGAACGGCCTTATTTTGTAATTTTACAAGGGGGGTGGGAAACTAAAATAGATCCTTTCCTTGATTGACTCAATTATTTTTTATTCATTGAGGTTCATCGTGGTTGAGCAATTGTTGACATGGTTCGAAAAGTATAGCAAAAAAATTGCTCACTTATTGCATAATTTCGAAGTAATGATGTAATGATGAGTGTGTTAAAAGGCACAGTTTTACCCTCAAATTTAGAGAGCCACAATTACTACTCTTTTTCAATCTTTCATGGCTGGAAATACATTTGGATGTCGATTTTTAAATATTACTAGAAAAATGCATAAGTATGTTTGTTCGCTGTAACAAAAAATAAATTTCTTTACAAGAAAAAAAACATAACTTCGCCACACAAACGCTTTCAGCCCATATTTTCCAGTTGAAAACAATGAACCAAACTCTGTGAGCATTTCCCTTCTGGTACTAAAACTAACAAGACTGCTCGTATCAGGGCGAAGCCCTGAGCGTTCCGACTGCCGTTTAAGGTCTATGGAGCAGTAAAAACGTGAAAAAATTAAATGTAATAGAAAAAAAAGAAAAATTCTTTGTTTTCTATTTCAGAATTTTTGTGAAAATCATCCCCACACGCCACAAAGTACAAAGTGATAGAGTTCGCTCCTAGTAACAAATCAATTATGGCAAATAAGCTTTCTTCAACCAATTTGGAACGATTTCTAAGACGGATTAAATCTCCGCTCACGCTTTAGTAGCGCGAAATACATTGCGCGTAAATTGTCCCAAATTGGCAATATTTAAACCCCCATAATGTTACAACAAATGGTAACAGGTGAAATATTTTTTCAAATTTAAGCTCAGAACAACAATATTTTTGAATGATATAAAAAAAATCCATCAAAAATTGCTAGTTGAAAAGTTGAAATTTGTCTGGAGAAAAAAACCAAACCGAGTACAAATATTCCGTCACTTTCTTCAAAAGTCCGAACAGTATTAGGATGGATACTACGAAACGGATAATGTACCATGTAACTTATGGTAATAGGATGATAAGGCTAAGTAAACCTAATATATCTTATACTTTCAACATTTGAAATTAAGACCATTTATCCACGAGGGAAAGGACCAACACAAGAGCTGTACATCTCATCACGACGAACCGCTGTTGTGCCCCTGCTTAAAAACTACGTGCAATTTTTTTTTGGTTATTGGTCAACAAAAAAAACTGACTTAAATTTCAGGATTGGGTTGAGGTGGCTCTGACAACTGACCTGACTTTCGCAAAGGCCTCGTTTACAGGGGTTCCAGCGTCGTAGGCTCTCACGTCCAAAACATAAGTGCGGTAACACTCCACAGTTTGACCCAATTTCAGGTAGATGTCGCCTAGAAAAACTTGGCCTTGGCTTTGAGTTTCAAATAAAAAATTTTTACGCCTAGAACTCTTTAAATTTCAACATTTTATGATTGACGCTTTAAAAATTAATCTCGGCACATTCAACAGCAATATGCCTTAATTAGCTGGACTGCTTGTATGATCGAACATACTTCACGATTATTTATAAACTTAGTTCAGAGAACATAAGAATGAAACCAGCATAAAGAAAAACATCAATTCAATGGGTATTTTTGTTCAAAATTGCATCTCGATTAAAGTGAAAGTTAAATTTAAACTTCAGGGATAAATTTAACCATCAAATAACCACCATTTACACACCCAAGAACTAGTATAAACACGTTGCAATGCATCATTATATCTAATCTTTCTCTTTCTTATGATTAAAATTAATTGAAAATAATTGTTGAAAATTTTCTGTTAATACAATAAATCTGACTTGGTAAAGTAGATAATATTTCTAACCAGTGACTTGGTCGAGTTCAAACTGATCGTACTCCTCGACGAAATCGTAACTTATGGTTCCGAAGTCAGTTCCACTTGCATCGTTGTCAATCGCTTCGATGGTCAGAATCGAGTTGATTGTCGAAGCACTTCCGTCGCAAGGGTATCCGGCAGTGTAAAAATCAGTATTCCTTGTATTTACCCAAATAGGCGAGTTATCATTCACGTCAATGACTACTAAGGTCACAGAACATGTCGAAGACTTCTGAGTCGGGGATCCTGAATCAGTGACACAAACGTCCAGGAGTATCTTGGTTCCCAGTTCGTAGTCCAGGGACGTGCCGACCTTGATAGATCCCGACGTCGCGTCGATCGTGAACGAACTGGTATTAGTCTCCGAATTGTCCGTTTCGTCTAAGTAAACTTGCTTCTTAATTGAGTACGCGACTGTTTGACCCTGATCTGCGTCCGTAGCTGTGACAGTAATGACTTCAGTATTGATGTTAGCATCCTCCGAAACTGTTTCGACGTACTGATTAGACCCACAAACTGGGGAAAACTCATTGAGGTCAACGACATCTATGATGCATTGAACATCCACGTAAAGTGAGGGTGAATCCGTGTCATTGACTCGAACAGTCAAGTTAAATTGACTGACTGTTTCGGCGTCAATTTCAGCAACTGCGGTTAGAATTTCACCAGTGTCAAGGTCAACTGTGAAGTAGTTCGCGTTTTCGCCCGCGATTACCTCGTATTTGAAGGCCGAACTGTCGAGATCAGTTACGTTTGCAAGTCCGCCTGTAGGCATCACCGGGGTTACACGTGTTGCCACGTTATATTCTTCTTCTGCAATAGAGAAATATAGGATGTTTCCAGTCGTGAAGTAAGGTGTCTCATCGTTGCAATTCTCAAGATTGATCAAAAGATTGGTTCTGTCGTTTTTAGTCGAATTCAAAACACCCTCGGCCAGCACTTCGAAGCTGTAAGTTCGTGTAGCGAGGTTGTCGTAATCTAATTGGACAACAGGCGACCAATCTCCACTGGAGCTGATTGACCAATCAGATCGCCTTGCGTAGTCGGTACTTGCTGGAAGAATGGTGTAGGACACTTCAGCGTTGTCACCCAAATCAAGATCGGAAGCAATGACCTGAAAAAACAAATATTCAAAATTTGGAGCTTCCGGATTAGTTAATTATTTGTTATGTTTCACAGAATGTTGCTTCCGTTTTTCATAACATCAAAAAGCGTTATAAGCATACTCACTAATCTTCGTTAAAATTCGCAAAAAAAAACAGTATTTTTAACGTTTTTTTATGTGATTGTTTGGTTAAAACTTTGGAAACTAGCAAAATTTTGCAGGTGGGGAGGGGAGGAGGCGGAAAAGGAGGCGTTTATTTGATTGACAAAGTATTGTTAGACTGACCTGGAATGCGGACATTGCAAGTGGGGAGCACTCTGGCGTGGATACATTGATGGCGGCGGCGGAGAAGAGAGGGGGGTTGTTGTCCACGTCCTGCATGTGGATAAACACAGTCTGTGTCCCATTCAGCACCGGAACTCCATTGTCCGAACAGTAAACTTCCAGAACGTACCTGGAATTGGGGGAAAAATTTATTAATACACTAATTAAAAAGATGACGCTAGCAGCGGAAAGAATGAATAACCAAAAAAAATTGCATGTAGTTCTTAAGCAGGGGCACAGCAGCGGTTCGCCGTGATGAGCTGTACAGCTAGTATGTTGGTTCTTTCCCTCGTGCATAAATGGTCTTACACTACTGACAAAAATTTGGCAGAAGTGTGAGTATAGCTATGGCAAATCTTTCTGATAATCTAAAGTTTTAAGCGTATTTTTTGGCATTTCCAACGGCAATGCTGCTCATATTTCAGAAAAAGTACTCTTTTTTCTCGCAAAAGATCTGCAAAACGTACCTGACAATAAAGAAGTAATTGGAAGTTTTTCTTAATTTGCACAAAATTTTGTAGCTAGAAGATTTCGTCCATCAACAAATTTTGTCTTTCTGATTTTGATCTTATTACGGCATAATTTATTCTCGACGTTCCCGATATTTTTAATTCAGTGACTTCAGAAATAAGCTGAGAGCAAATTTTTCAATTTAACTATCTATTCTATGAAAAAAATTTGTGTCAATCCAATTTCTTAGCCTAATTATTGTTCCGGTTCCGACTTTTGTAACAAAAGTAATGGAAATTTGTGCTCGGGTGGTTTTTTTCTTCAGACAAACTTCGACTTTTTAACTAGCCATTTTGACGGAATTTTTTATATCATTCGAAAGCTATTGTTGTCTTGAGCTTAAATTTGAAAAAGATATTTTAGCTGTGATCGTTTTTCGTAAAGTTATGGGGGTTTAAATATTGCCATTTAGGGAGAATTAACGTGCGATATATTTTGCGCTATTAGCGCGTAAGCGGAGATTTAATCCGTCTTAGAAATCGTTTCAAATTGGTTCAAGGAAGCGTATTTGCCATAATTTATTTGTTACTAGGAGCAAAATCTATCACTTTGTGCTAAATATGGCGTGTGGGGGGATGAATTTCACAAAAAATCTCAAATTTTATTACATTTAATTTTTTCATGCTATTGCAGCTCCATAGACCTAAAAAGGCAGTCGGAACATTCAGGGCTTCGCCCTGATAGGAGCAGTCTTTTTCTGCTTTTTTTCCATTTTTTTTTCAAGTGAGTATCGCAGTATATTTAAGTATCTGTAACAAAACACACTTACAGCGAATTAGAAAGCACTCCCAAATACTCTCTCGTGAAAGTTGTCGCCACGAGGTCAAAATTCAGCGTCTTTGGTGCCAATGCTACCGAAAAATCCGAAGCATTCGTCGTGCATGCTGTAATAGTTGACCCTGCATCGTTGTCTGCGACGTCCAGTTTCTGGGAAAATGCGATCAGCTCAGTTGCTTCCAGGAAAAGCGACTTCGGAGTGAAATGAGGCGCGTTGTCATTTATATCCTGGACTAGAACTTTCAAGTTACATGTGGATGTCAAGGATGTCGGGTTGTAATCCTCGTCGGAGACTTCGAATATTATACTGTACTGGTTAGTGTCGCTTTCGAAGTCAAGAATCGGCGTCATGAGTTCGAGACGTCCGTTCAGCGCCGTGTTTCCTGTAGCATCTGTGAACGGGTCAATCGCAAAAACATCCGCTGCTGAAGCGTAGAGCAGTTTGAATTTCATTGCGTTGGTAATTCCTGCAGCTTGGTAGTCCATATCATAAACAAGTCCGTCTGTTTCGAGCAACGACACGACAGATTTAGGCGAGTTTTCATCATAGCCGATAGTCAACAAAGCCGAATCACAAGTGGGCGCATGTTCGTTCACGTTTGTAATGTTAACCTCAATCTTGACACTTCGCACGTTGGTTCCGTCGGATACCGACACAATTATGACGTCATGTTTTCCATCCTCATAATCGTACTCCACTCCTAGATATACGTTGCCGTTTGTCGAATCAATTTGGTACTGGGGCGCAGGGAGCGAGGTTCGATCCGTCGTCACACTTGCAATTGTGTAACTCAACACTGCTGAAGCTGTATCATCATCAGTCGCTTCGACTTTAAAGAGCAAGGTTCCAATTGGGGTATTTTCAGGGAAGCTCAATTGCGTGTCGTTTAGTTGGACAATAGTCGGTGGCTCGTTGTTGCGCTTCGACACAAAAACATTGACCAAAGCTGTTGATGACATTTCTTGACCACTTTCGGCGTTGTCTTTCGCTTCGACAACTAGTTTGTAAGTGTCAACTACCTCAGCGTCAAGAGCTCCGTCGAGAGTCAAGATGTTTCCGTCCATGTAAAACTGCTCACCCGGGTCGCCTCCTGTGACTTTCATTGTAATTACCGCGTTGTTCCCGGAATCAGCGTCAGTCGCTATCAGAACCTTGATCGGAGTTCCAGCAGCGATGTCATCAATCACACTTGAAGTGTAAGTGGCAGGATTAAACAGAGGTCGGTTGTCGTTGATGTCCAAGAGGTTGACAGTCACGTTAATGACCGATGATCTTGCAAGAGTCGCATTTGTCAGAGAATCGCAGACTGACACTTCAAAGATGTAGGAATTAGGAGCAGTGTCGTAATCGAGTCGCTTTCCTGTTATCAGTTCCCCTGAGCTTTTATCAATTGTGAATACATCAGAATTATCAGCTGTAGCGTTGACCATTTTAAAGAAAAACTGCCCGAAGTCGGTTGTCGGATTGTCACAATCAGACGCGGTTATTGTCATAATTGTCGTACCGATCGGAATGTCTTCTGAAATCGCGACATCGAAGACTCCCGACGCGGGGGGAGTAAACACCGGGTCGCACTCGTTCACCGGGTCGACTTTGATCAAAACCTCAGTTGTCACGCAAAACTGTGTGGGGAATGCAGCGTCGCATACCCGGATTGTTATGTTGTAATACTCAGAGGCTTCGTGGTCCAGGCTTTGGACTAGTCTGAAATCAGATCCAGATATGTCAAATTTGCCCTCAGAGTTTCCGGATAGAATTTGGTAAACAGTGAAAGGAGGTTCTCCTTGGTCCGTGTCAGTACAGAGAGTATCAATGTCAAAAAGAATCGAAGGTGTGGCTCGATCTTCAGGAATGGAAAGTTCCTCAAATGAATCACAGACAGGACTTGCGTCGATTACGTCATAGACATTGATCACGACAGTAGCTGGAGTTGCGCTTCTGTGTGAAGTTAGAGACTGATCCTCCGCACTTATCGACAACGTGAATACAACTGGGTTGTTGAGCCCTGGAAAACTGTCAACATCTATAGTGTTTAGAAGCGTGATTTCTCCATTTTCCGAGTCGATCTTGAACTTTCCTAGCTCGTTGCCTGCAGCTTCAATGTCGAACAGGATTCTTCCGTCATCTCCATCGTCGAGATCCGAAGCAGATACTGCGCACGCAAAATCGCCTATTACATAACTTTCGGTAATGTTGCACTCGTAGCTTGGTGCAGTGAAAGTTGGGTCGAATTCGTTTACAGGGTCAATTGTTATGAAGACCGTTGTTGTTGCAGTGTGAGTACTTGCTGAGTCTTTTACTTCAACTATCAGTGTGAAATTTTGAGCTGTTTCGTAATCAAGATTGTCAGATGGTTTTAGTAGAAGTTCATCTTTATTCGTCGCGTCAAACTTGAATGGGGCCGAAGGGAGCGATGACGCAATAGTATACGTAAGTACAGCCGCCGTGTCGACTATTACATCATCGTCAGTGCATGTTATCGTTAGGAAACTTCCATCTGCATTTGTGAGATTCTCCTGAACATTCACAGCTTCGATTGCGGGAGGACAGTTTGGAGGGTTGTCATTTATGTCATTCAGATTTACTGTCAATATTGCAGTAGACGTCAAAGCTCCTCCGTCGTAAACAGAAACTCCAAGGCTATAGCCGGCCAAAGTTTCACGGTCGAGTAAAGTTGTAGTCGTTATTTTCCCAGTGAATTCTTCGATTCTAAACACTCCTTTGACGTTTCCACTTGTGATTTCGAACCGGAGACTTCCAAAGTCTCCCGAGTCGCCGTCGATTCCACTCGCATTGAAAACCGAGAACCCGACGGGTACCGTCTCGTCGATACTTACAGTTGCCGGGAGAACAGCGAAGGCTGGTGTATCTTCGTTATCATTTTCAATCTCAATGTCGATTTCCAAAATTACAGTTGATGATGGCGCCGTTCCAGCGTTGTCCATAACTGGAATAGTCATAGTGTAATGGTGCTCTGTCAAGCTCTCGTAATCAATTGCAGCCGAATGGGAAATTGTAACTGTAGTGCCTGCAGCTGTGGCCGTTAGCCATGCGACGTTCGGAGAAATGACTATGGTTCCCAGACTTAGAGTGTTCAGCCCAGCTGTCGCGTCGTTTCCATTACACGTTATGGTTCCAATAGGAGCGGTAGTTGTCGTAGTTTCTGTTACTCGGTAGTTGAAAGCTTCATTTGGTGTTCCGCATTCAAGTTGCTCATCATTAATGTCATTTATGTCGATAGCTATCAACTGGTCGACGCTTAGAGGTGTGCCTCCGAGATCCGAAACTCGGACGGTCATCGAGTAAGTCGTAGTTGCCTCGTAATCGAAGACTTTTTTCGTTTTAATCTCCCCTGTCGTGTATCCAATTGAGAACTCGTTATTCGCAGCTGTGAATTCGTAGCGTAGAACACCGTCTCCTGTTGCAGTCGAATCACCATCGGTTCCCGCGACTGTCGTCACAACAGTTCCAACTGGTTGCGCTTCGTCGACATTGAAAGTTGTCGCAGATGCCCAAGCTGGTGTCGCCTCGTTGTCGTTCAAAACTTTCACGAAGACAGTACAGGTTCCTGTGAGAGGTGTCGCGCCGGTGTCAATTACTTCAAGTCGTATCTCATAGTCAACAGTTCCACTATCAAAGTCAAGTCCACTGTCTCCATTTATAGTCAAAGTTCCAGCACCGTAGACAAAGCTTGCCGACTCGGTTCCACCGTTGTAGCTCGGGTCAATCGCCACACTTGCGATGACGTTATTTGGAGCCGCGTCATCACCGTCCGAAGTCGTTAAAGCTATAGTCGCTGTCGACCCTTCGGTGACCGTTACAATGTAGACATCGTTGGCGAATGCGGGAGCGTTGTCGTTCACATCGTCGATTGTAACTGTGATTGATAAGTCTGTATAACCTGTCAGACCAGATGACAAAAGGTCGGATTCAGTTGATGTTGCTTGAACTGTAAATGTGTGGGATGTAGCCGCTTCTGTGTCCAGTTCCTTAGCCGTATAAATCTCACCAGTCATCGGGTCGATCGAAAACAAACTGGTACCGCTGAGAGAGTAAACGATGTCATTTCCTTCAGTAGTCGTGTCAATGTTACCGACTAGGGTTCCAGCGTTTTGGTTTTCGTCCACACTTAGCGAGTACGACGCAGGACTGAACGTGGGATCCGCTGTGATTGATTGCACCACAAAAACATCCACTTCGACTGTCGTTGTTAAAGGCGTCGTCGCGTGGTCTGTTACATCGATTGTCACTTTGAAGAAATTTGTAGTGTCATAGTCGAAAGCACCGCCCGAGTATTGGAGGACGTTTGAACTCATTGTGAATGCCGGAGTTCCTGCGTAGCTCGGATCGTCATTGACAGCTGCAACTGCGTAGCCCATTGTCGTATCATCCTCGGTATCCGAACAAGTCAGCGTCGCCAAGTTTCCTGAATTCAAGCTCGGATCTTCTAGAACTTTCACAATTTTAGTCGTGAAATCACACACCGAGTACACATCATTTACATTCGTCACAGTTATTACGTAACTGGTGGAAGCTGACTTGCGAGCGGGATTCTCGCCAAAGTCGTATGCATATACAGTTAGAGTGATCTCATAAGGCGAAACAAGTTCTTCGTAATTAAGTTCGCCGACTAGTGTAACTTCTCCGTTAGACGATATTTCAAATTTGTCGCTGGGCGGGTCGATGTAAAATGCTATTTTTCCGTCGCCAGTTGTCGTGGAATCATCATCAGTTGCCCCAACCACAGTCGTCAAAACAGTTCCCAAAGCCGTGTCCTCGGCAAGCGTCTCGGTGTAAGGTGTCCCAGTGAACGCCGGCGTGAATTCATTAATCGGCTGGAGTGTCACCGCTACATTTACAGTTGTAGCCAAAGGTGCTGCACCTTGATCTGTGGCGACAACTTGGACGTCGAAAATCCGAGTGACAGTAGCGTCGTCGAAATCTAGTGCGACAATGTCGAGTGCTCCTGTCGTGGCGTCAATCGAGAATGTTGAGGTGAAGTCGCTTACAAGTGTGTATTGTATGTTTCCATTCACACCTGAATCAAAAAAGCTAAGATAAAACTGTTTGAAGTAAAGAAATAGTCAAAGGCGCATTTTGAAAATCAACAAAAATAGATTTTCCATGTATGTTCAAAGCTTTTAAATCAGTGATTGGATTTTTCTTTTTCTAGAGCAGTTTGACCTCATTTAAGTATCTATATTGAATAACCCACACTATTACACTGTTCTCAGATCCTATCAAGCTTGTTAGTTTTTTTGAACACTGTCGATACTTAAATACGGATACTCAACGGAGGTCAAATTGCTCCAAAAAGTGAAAAAATTCCACTCCACGGGATTCACAATCTTAACAAATATTGAAAAAATCTTTTTTCTTCAAAATCTAGTTTTCAAAAAAAAGATCTTCCAGACACTTTCAAAAACAAAAATTTCTTCTGATTTTTTGTCACTCACAGGTGCAAGGTAAATTAGATGACCTGACATTAAGATGAGTATCATCGTTAAATCATTAAAAACGAATTGTTCCAATTTAAGCGGTTAATGTTTTTCAGAAATGCAGTTGAATAATGTATGTAGTGTCCTCTTAAAGTCAATCAAAACTGGTGTCGTCTTAAAAGGCAGTCGTCTTATTTTCCGAACAGCAGAACCGCACTCACCATCATCTTTATCAGAGGCCTGGATAGTGATCAAAGGAGCAGCTGCCAGGCTGTCTGTGGCCACAACCGTGTAGCTGTCCTGGCTGAACTGGGGGTAGTTGTCATTCAAGTCATCAACTGTCATTGACACTGTGCACGTGACGTCATTGCCTGCCCCGTCTGATGCCACCACTTCGATTTCGTAGTTGTCCGCCTGTTCACGGTCCAATCTAAAAACATTTGTAATTTATTAAATTTGTAATATTTGTAATTCATTACCATTGGGATGAGCAAGCGTATTGCAATTGGGTACTAGACTTTTCCTGCGTAAATAACTGTTTACAGGACTCATCTCCTGATTTATGGACTCATTCGTCTACTTGTTTCATTATAAACTCAAGGTAATTCAAACATTTGGCGCACCTGGCGTAGAGGTAACACAATTGCTTGAGACGGCAAAGGATAGTGCTTCGAATCAGACAGGGACCTATTTTTGTGCAAACTAGATTTTCTGTGCGTTTTCGTACATCGTTTAATTTTGTCGAACATCGTTTAATTTAAGCGACTATCGTACATCTGTTTAATTTTGTCGAATTGTTTCACGTAGCCGATTATTTTTGAAAGTTCAGCTTTGTTGGAAGTTGCTGTATAACCCATGATCGAGACTACAAAGCTCGGGAGTTCAATTTTAGTCGGGACCTGTTCTTTTGCAATCAGGAAATTTTCGGCCGCTATTCTAGATTATTTTCATTTGAATTTAACCATAGTCATTCATTTTTGTATCCAAAATGGTGAGAAGCGCTCAGCTTCGCCTGTTTTAAATTTTTTCGGTTCAAAGTTTTTTGTTTTGAGCAAAAAAATATAAGTAAAACAATGTATATTTGTTAAGAAAATTTTTTTTCGTTTTGAGAGAAAAAAACATTTGTATATTATGTATATTTATTTTTTGGTACAATTTTTTTTGTTTTCGTGAAAAAAAGACATTTGTAAACAATTGTAAACTAAAGCAAATTTTTTTGCCACCAGTTTTTTCTTCTGAAAAAATTATTATTTGTAATTTATTGTAAAATTTTTCGGTACCATTTTGTTTATTTTGAGGAAAATCTATTTGTAACTTATTGATTTTTTTAAACTTGGTACACACTTTTTAGAATTGAGAACCTAAAGTTTTCCAACGCAATTTTGACAGACCTAAATCTTCATACTCTCTCTTCTCAAAATGCCATTTTACTATTCGAAATAATTAAATTACAAGGAAATGTCAATCCTTACATTTTCTCCAAAACAAGTAAATATCAATCAGTGTAAACAGGAAGAAGTGAAATTATGGAGTTACAATTTATAGTTTTGTCACAAAATGTTGCTCTACAAATTTGATAATTGGGTCCCTATAAAAACGAAAGATGGGTCCGGTCATTTTGTGAAACGTTAAGAAACAACTGAAAAAAAATATTTAAACTTGATGTTCCTGAAAATTTTGTTTCGTTTTGCAATTCACAGAGGAGCTATCCCACAATCCAATAACTGCTCTGACCATACAAAAAAAGGGGAGAAACCTTGTCTTTGGGTGTGTTTCAGTTCCATGAAAACACCAGATGTCACAAATAACACAGAGGTGAAGCTTCGCTTCGCAAACACTAACGAGAACACAACAAAAAGCAACCCTTGAAAAAGCAATAAGAAAAAGAAATAAGCGTCGAATCAGCAAAAACTCGGCTGTGTCTAGGATTCGATCTGCGACCAACCGCAATCAAAAGAAAAAGAGTCTCACGCTCTAACCACTCAGTCACGTACGCTTAACCACCGACAAACAGTAGTCACGAATAAAGCAGCTACATATGCTAATAAATTGCCAATTCCATTCAGCAAAAATGGCAACAAATACAAATAGACACAAATTTTTGGAATATAACAAACTCAAGGCATCCACACTAATATTGCATGTAACAAATCGCAAAGCCACATTATGCATAAGTTATGCATTTCAAAAAATTGCGATAAACATTGAGTTAGAAAACTTCTGAAATCGAGTTTTATGATTTTTAAGTTGTTTGAAACAAATAACTTTTTTCGGTTCATTTGATAAATTAAAAATGCATCAACTGTGTTAACGTATTACTATTCGAATGTCAAAGCACATGCTATCAATAAGCTGAAAAGGTGCCCCAAAAGTGGCACCAATAATTGCGAATAGGTTAGAAAAAAAGAAGGTTCTTAAAAATACACAAAGCTGACGCTAGTGTAATTATTGGAATCACTTTAGTTATAAAACATACTAAGCCCTTTAAGTCGTGATACAAACAACATTTAAAAAAAAAACTTTTTTCCCCTCATTGAAAAAAAAATGTGCGAAATTTTTGAGTGATAATCCAATTTCGCGCGAGTAAAGCAATTGAGCAGGTCTTCGAAAAAAATCCATGACAGAAGTTGAGCAAAAAAAAAGCTTCGCTTGCTTTACTTTCTTAAAATAAGACTAAATCTCAAAAGTTTCCATATGTTTTTTTTTACAAAACTGGGAATCTTTTGAAAATTTTCAAGGTACTATTTATCCACATATCATGAAATAATCACCGTCAATAATCACCGGAATGATATCAGAAATTAAAGCCAATTTAGTCGTCTTTCGAACAAAATTTGAAAACTTCGCAGCACTAAGAAAAACTTCACAGAAAAATTGATCTAATAATTTTGAGTTTCTGTCTAATTTCGAGCGCTTAAATCGAGCGGAAAATCCTTAGAAAACAATTCATTTAGGTAATGAAGAACGTAATTTACTCCAGCAAAACTAGTTTTAAAAGCTTCGATAACGACTTTTTGGCAATAAAAAGCTTTTAAAATTCAAGAAATCATTCTGCAAATTTTTTTCATTTGTTTTTCTAATTTTTGTCGATTATGCCTCATTTACACTCGTTCGTATAATTAGCTCATCATACTATGCACAAAAAACGCACTTATTTAAACTCTTTTTCTCGGCATATTCTAGGAATAATCTGAACAACATGCGCAGCTGCCAGCTAACTTGTTCTTCAGACCATTGAAAATGGAGAGAAACTTGGTTCTTCGGGTGTGCTTTAGTTTTTTCTTTTTTTTTCACGCAAAATCAGGTACCATAATTAGCCATCGAAATGAGTCGAGTGTTTTATTGTATTAAAGCCATTTGAGCAGTGATTCGAACCACATTAAAAAGTTTCCAAAAATTGTTTCAGATTTGAGAGAAACCGGATTGAAAATTTGAGTTTTAGTCTAGTTTCTAGCGAGTAAAGTTATCGTGTAACGTTCGCTATACATATGAAAATTGGTCAATAGGCTGAAAAAACTAGGAATTATTTTAAAAATAACTACTTTCGGAAGCTTCATCTACAGTTTCTTTGGAAGAATTTTCTTCAAATGGCAAAATGATTGTGCAAAAAATAGAAACAGATTTTAGAAAATTGTTTGTGCCAATTTTTTGTTTGCTATTCTCTTTCTGAAAACAACTGCAGTCGATTATGCCTAATTCAATTTATCTAGGCGTTTGTATAGTTCTCTAATCACAAAAACGACAATACTTTGTAAAAGAAACAGCCAACAGACAGTTGGAAAAGAGTCAAGGAACTCAATTGAACAGAAAAAAATACCGACTTTTTAAAAAAAAAAACTTATGAATTTTTTTTAAAAAAAGATGCTTTAAAGATATTTGAAATTCTATAACAATTTATCATTGACCTTCTTTGATGAAATTAACTCAATTTGAGAAAACTGGATTATAAGTAAATTTTCAATTTGCTAAGAAATCTGAAAATTAAATCCACTTTCGAAACTAGAAGTCTATCACGTTTTATGTGACTTTTACACTTGGGCCTTCCTTTCTACAAAAGAAATGAACTGAACTCAAAATTAAATCAAAAATCGAACCACGGAACTTCAAATTTGAGCCTGAACAATTTTTTCCTGAAAAAAAAAACAAAAAATTCGAGACCTATAACAGAGTCTGAACTACGTTCATCGACTCTTAAAATGATCTTTTTTGCAATTTTTTAAAATTATGGTTTGAACTATCTTTGTTACGTGCACATCAACTGGCTACCTTTGTTGTTCCGACCATTGAAAATGGGGAGGAACTTGTATTCGGGTGTTTTTCAAGATTTTTTATAAGTTTTTTCTTCTTTTTTTCAACCTTTTGTTTTCCAAGCACAATCGGGTACCCCAAACGGGCATCGGACTGGGTCGAGTGATATATCAAATAAAAGTGTGATTTGCAAAATTTGTTTTAAAATTTTCCCGGTGTCGAGAAAAATTGGTTTCAAAGTTTTGATTTTTCGTTTAATTTCGAGCAAGTGAGCAAACTTACCTTAGTTTACTTATGCTTATTTTAAGCCTTGAAAATTTAGTTTTATTTCAGTAAATTTTTAGTGCCATCTTAAGAATCAAATACTTAAGAATAAAAAAACTGCAAACTTTCTGAAAACAATTTGAAAAATTTTGTAAAAAATTATTTGAAAATTAAAAAAAAAAATTTTTAAAGTTTTTTCGTTTTTCTAGTTATGTTTGAATAAAAACTGTTTTCCAATTTGCCTTTTTTCTCTGACTGTCGAATATGCCTAGGTTTTAGTTTTTTGTTCAGATCCTTTTATCACACTACGCAGAAAAATAGACACTAACTTGAAAAAACTTGTTTCGTGTTTTTAAGACTATGGTCGGAACATTCTGCGCTACTTGCAGGGTAACCGGCTATCCTTGTTTATTTCTTGAAGCGAAAGTTTGCAATTATGATAAGTGACTCAGACCAATAGAGTTTAAAATCAATTGAGTTTTTTCAGAGACCTATCTGTATTTAAGGAATCTACATATCTACCGTCGGTTGCTAATATTGTAAATTTATACAAATCGAAATGCTCGTGTCAGAAAAATGTTGTGAACATGATTATATATAAACATAGGCTAACCTGACTAAATTGGTGACGACTCCAGTGTCTGGATCTAGATGAAACAGATCAGTTGCCTGGACTAGACTGTAGCTATTCTGGCCTGTGATTCCATCTGCATTTGTGCCATCCGCTGCATCTGTGGCTGACACTGTGGCTATAGTCGACTGGTCCAGAGTGTTCTCGTCTATCGATCCGGTGAAGGCTATAATCAGTAGCAAAACATAGTTTATAACTAAAAATATAACTTTTGCATGCAAAAATTGTCTGAATTTGAATCTTTTCCTCTTCTTAATTGATTTTCTATATTCTTACTTATTTTTTACAATTCTCTAAATTAAATGAATGTGCTAGTAATGGGTAAATAGTGGCCAACTCGTCCAAGAAAAAATGAATAGAAGTCAATAAAACTAGTTAAGATCAGTTTTCCTTTAAAAAACAAACAAACAAAAAACACTCGAATAAGGAAAATGATAATTCACATCGTTCTTTGCATAAAATTACTCGTTACATCTTCTACTAAAATTTCGTCAAAACTAAACTGAATGACAGAGGGGGGGGGGCAGGTATTCTTACGCGCTGAGTCGCAGGTAGGACTGGCTTCATCAACTGGGTTGACAGTGACAGTAGCGAAGCAGATGAAGTCATGAGTAGTGTCCCCGTCAGAGACTGTTATGGACACACTGTGTAGAGCGGCAGCCTCGTAGTCCAGCTAGAATCACAGAATTCATCAATGAAGTTATATAAAAAAGTGAGCGAAGAGAAAAAACTGTCGGTTTTTGCAAACTGTTGGGTTTTTTAAAAGTTAGAAATAGTCGCTTGCTACAAATTGTGACCTGTTAAAAGTAGTCGCCTCACGAAAAAAAACATTTGTTGAATCGAGTGTAAGACCACTACAACTTTAGTAAGTTATCCCCAAAAAGGTCCAAAAGACCAGGGAAAGCTTTTAATTTAGATCTAAGAAGGCCAGCTGAAACAAACATGAACAGAATTTAGCTCAGCAAAGTGGAAAGACAAAAAGCATGAAGACAAAAAAACTGAATAGGAAATTATTTTGAGCCTTTATTTTCGAGATTGCCATTCCAAAATATCATTTTATTATGTTTAACATACGGGAGCAAAAGTTACACCGACATTTTTCCCATGAAAAGAGATAGCTTTTTTCGCATTTCTTCTACCTTCGTTTTTTTTTACTCATGGAACCTTTGTTCGCAGTGTCTGATTGTTATGTAATTTTGCATGCAGACATTACATAACAATCGCACGCTGCGAACAATTTCGCATGCGGAAAAATTGGGCTATTACAAAAAAAGATGTTTGCGAAAGCTAGAGGGGGGGGGGGGTGGGGGCAGCTAATGAGTTTCACTATCTCTTCAGAACAACTCAATTGACTTACTGGATTGATGACGAATTTTCCAGCAGTTACAGCGAAGTTGGTGGCATCACTTAGAGTGAAGGTTAGAGTGTCTCCATCTCCATCCGAACACTTGAGGTCAACCGAGGTCACTGCAAACACACAACACATCATCATAGCAAGCCACTGGTCAGGCAATACGTAAACACTGGCAATACAATTGTTGTGCTCGCCCGCGCCGGAGTTCGATGGATAATAATATGTTATATTTGTCATTTTTAAAGGTCAGTCAAACTGTTTTTAAAAAATATATATTATATATATATATATTCGTCCTTGGGTTTTGGTGATGGATTTTGTCACAGTTTGGTAGAAAAAAAACCTTTCCCGAGTGTAAATACTTTTTAAACTCAACTTCTAAACACTCCCCCATATAAACAATATCCCTCTTAGTGATTTCAAAAAAAGGCTGACCCTTCCAAAGTTTTTTTGGATCAGCAAACAAAGTTCGAATTTCTTGATTTTCATCGACTTTCCACATGATTAATTTTGAATCTAAAAAAATTCGAAACACGAAATCAAGAGCGTTTTTAAGGTATAATTGACTTACCAGGTGCTGCTGCGTTTTCATCAACCGCCACTGCGAACGGACACACCACACAATCTGGACTGTTGTCATTCTCATCAGTGACAGACACTGTTAGAGTCTGGGTGGCAGTTGGACTAGCACTAGTCGGGTCAGTAGGATTGGACGCACACACTTCGAATATGTACTCTGTCTTCACTTCGTAGTCTAACTCGTTTGTGAGGTAGAGGTCACCCGCATCTGTGCCCCTGGACACTATGCTGAACATGTCTGAAAAATTTCGCAAAATCGGTGACCTTGACCGCCTCAATAGAAAACAAGACTGCTCGTATATCGGGGCAAAGTTCTGAATATTCCGACTGCCCCTTAAGGAATATCGAATAGTTTTTGCGAAAAGAAAATATTGAAAACCTATAAATTTTCGACAATATCAAAGTGTAAAATTTTGAGTCGAAAGAAATCAATAAGACCAATTGGAATTCAATTTGGAACAATTTTGTTCTACTGGATAATTGACCACGCATAAATAATTCGCGTTACGCTCTCAGCATTATGAACAAATTCTTCAAAACGCACATTTAGTCCAGAACAGAATTTAGTCCAGAACATGGCCAATTTTGCAATTTTTAAACCCCCAGAACTTTACAAAAAATGATTGGAGGAAAAAATCTTTTGATATTTGAACTCAAGAAGTCGAGATCTTCAATGGGTTAAAAAAATTTTGTCGAAAACTATTATTTCGATCGACGACAATGACTGAATAAAAAAACCACACCGATCATAAAAATCCATTTTCTTCAAAAGTCGGAACAAAAATGGTGCTTTTTAGGCTGATTACAATATTTTACCAGGTTTTTACATGCTGAAATGAATGAAAAATTAATTTCCGAGGTCAAAATGAGAAGTTTTAGGGTTTACTGACCTCATTTAGATTCGATTTAAATTTAGATATGTAGTATTCCTATCTTAAAAAGCAAACTATTTTGTAATCTCGTAATTTCAATGTTGATTTAAAGAGGGTCATTTCGTCGCAATTTCAAGAAATATTGAAATTGCAACAAAATGATCCTCTTTAAATCAAATTTAAATTTCGAGATTCCAATACAGTTCGCTTTTTAAGATACTAAGAATATATATCTAAATCTAAATTCGATTTTATAAAAAAAAACAACAGCCAACATTATGTTGGAGAAGTTTCATGGAACTAAAGGAGACTAAAAGAATATTTATATTTAGTTATATTGATTTACGAAAAAAAAATTAAAGCTGAAAAGTTCTTAATTTTAAGAATCTTTTTTAAATAAAAGTTTTCCATAAAAACTATCTGATGAGAGAAACTGCTCAAAACCGTATTTTTGAATCCTCTGGAAAACCTAAAAATTAAAAGCTATTTTCAAACTTAAAAAGCATTCGAATTTTCCCGCCTTTTTAACTGGCGAGCATAATCTGGCTTTATTTCCTAAAAAAAAACGAAAAAAAAATCAACAACACTACATTCATTACAACTTGATAAAAAGGGGGAAAAATCAATCACGAAAACATATATATAAATTTTCATAATTTTACTTCTTTTTATAAAGTTTTTGTTGTTGTTGATTTTTCAGCCAGCGAGAGTAGAATCAACCAAAAATACAAGTGGATGACAGAAAAGTAAATAAATTACAGCAGCATTAAGTAAGAAATTCATTCTAAAAATTCCAAACTGAAAAAAAATCATTAGTCTGAACAGCAACGAAATTGAGACCAAGTTTTTGCGATACTGAGATAATTTTTTTAAATCTCAATCATCACCAATGAGGCTTTAATATGATACCACAAATAACCCTCTAAAGTTTTCTTTCAATATCACACTTGACCCTCTACACACGCTTTCTTTGTGGTAGTCAAATTGAAAAAAAAATGATATATAGTGCTCATAGTTCTTCCAACTTCATAAAAGTGGAAAGAAAATAAACCAGAAATACTTTGACTAGTCATTTTTTGTTCTAATCGCACAGCTGCTGTTTAATGAAAATCTTGATCGTCAATCTTTGAGCATAATCCAAATACAAGATGTTAAGTAACAGCTTGAAAGACAAATGACCGAAAGAGCGGTACTTCCAATTAACACTTGAAATCCGCAAGAACAAAAACATTATATGATTTATATACGAATCGTTAAGATACTTTTTAGCTTCAAAACAAAAATTTTTCAAAAGTACTGAATGTTGTTAGTGCAAATAGAAATTTAAAATCTGAAGCTCCGTAATTGTAATCTGTGAAAGTGCTTTAATTATAATGTTTAGACGAGCTAGGTACTTGGCTTTTATTTACATTTAATAAAATTGTGATAGCGAGTTGCAAAACATTTGAACGGAGAGAAACAATCTTTCAATTTTGAGCAATTTTTGCATGCAAACTTGAATTTTGTGTCATGAAGATACTTTCTGTCTGAAAATTTTGTATGCATGCAAAAGCTGTCTGAAATAAATTATTCGCCTTTTTTTAAATTTTGCCGACTCGAACTTCTTGATACTAACAGGGGCGGATCTAGGATTTTCTCGAGGGGGGGCGGATTTAAAAAAAAAATTTTAGGTCGACCTTTTTTTTAGGTCGACCGAATTGATTTTTGAGCCCTCCCTAAGCATGGTTTAGTCCCTTTTTTGGTAACATTTTCTGCGCCGCAGGCAAAAATTTGAAAAAAAAAAACAGTCCAAAAAAGGCGTGTTTAGGCACTTTTTGGAAAATTTTGACCAAAAAATTGCGTTTTTTCGGCGCGCGCTCCCCCCTTAAAACTAGAATATATTGGCGCCAAAGGCGCCTTTAGAAAAATTTTAGGGTCGGTTGGCCAAAAATGGATTTCTTAAAAAGTACCAAAGGGGGACCCGTTGGGTCGGCAGGGGGTCGAATCCCTGAGAGGGGGCGTCCGCCCCCCCTAAATCCGCCCCTGGATACTATTTATATCGCTAATGCCAAATTGTTGCCAATATTCGTGCCCTTGCGCAATTTAATCGGTCAAAAACAATAGCATTTGTTGTAAGCCATTTTCACGTGTAAGAATTGGCGAACAACTAAAATTTGACGTCGGAATGGACAGTTTAGGATTTATTTAACTTCGTTCAGATTCGTTGATCAAAAATGGAATTTTTTAATGAAATATGAATTTTTTTGATGAATTTTTTTATTTTGATGAATTTTTTTATTTTGATGAATCTTTTAACTATACCTTCGGCTTCGAGGCTGTTGCAGATCTGATAAATCAACACAGAGTGATCAGTTAGCGTGTTGTCGGAGTCGCCGTCTGTTGCCGCGACAGTCGCAAGGAGAGTGCCGACTGCAGTCGTCTCTGATTTGCTGATTGCGGGAAGATTGGCCACTGCGAACGCCGGCGAGTTGTCGTTCACAGGTTGCACCTAGAAAATTCAAAACTTGATCAGAAAAACAGCCGTTATCACCTAATTTGACATCAAATCTACAGAAAGTTAATAGTTTTTTGAGCAGATGATTTGAAGTCGACTAGGACAAAGATGTCCATAACCGTATTAATGTTCATGTTATGATATATTATTAGAAAAAAAACTGATATCAGCTTTCTGTAGACAAACATGCGAGATTTGAATGTTGAACCGCCAGAATGTATCAAGAACGAAAATGGTTTTAGTTTAAACAAATTGCTACTCTTTGACTTATTAACTAGTAAAACTTTCATAATCTGAGAACGGTTAGTAATCTTTTTGAACAGATGAAAACATGTTCTAGGGCAAACATTTTCAGGGCCTTGTGCTTAGCGTGGATCCTAGGCGGACAAAATTTGTTGATAATCAAAACAAAAAGCTGTAATTCTCATTGAATATATCTGCCGTAATTTTTTAAAATTTAATAATTAATTTAAGAAATTCCATCTTTTTTTAGCTAACCAGCCAGAGGTCTAACGCGAAGGTTAACTATTTAAGGTAATTTAATTATATTATTGCAGAGCACCATAACTACCGATGCGCCACAATTTTAGAATTAGGTTTTAAGTATGGAAAAATTTGCATACCTCTACAGTTACGTAAATTTTCCGGTCCGTGGCTCCCCCGTCTTTCACATCTATCACAATATCCCACGTGTTTGTGTCTTCAAAGTCAAGGTCATTGGCTGAAATCATTTGAATGTTATGAAATTTTCCCTGAAAGCTCATTAAAATAGTTTTCGTTTATTATGCAACAAATTTTCCAGCAGCAGCTATCCTTAGTGTCGGCAGCTTTTCGGTAATTTGAAACATTTAGCAAGTTTACTGGCACTTAGATTTAAAACTTCTGACAGTTTTCAATTTTAACACTGAAAATTTGATCTTTCGTCGCAAAAGCTACTCCTCAAAATGAAAGCATTGCGTTTTGCAATAACAATGCTAACATTTTACCGATAATGTTAATTAAGTGTTATATTTATCGGTTATTGTAATATAAATGATGAGCACTAATAATATACAAATATACACCCACCGACGAGTGAAATTTTCCCTGTCGTCGCATCAACTGCGAATCTCCCGTCGCCCGAGGCCTTCGCGAACGAAATGGTTTCTCCCGCGTCGTTCGCGTTGCAAGTAAACTTCTCGTGCAAGACAGTTGTCGGTGTCACTGTTTCGTAAATGGCGATCCGAACTGACGACTCGGCACACGAAGGTGGGAACTCGCCCTCGTCCGAAACTGTCAGCGTCACTGCGTGGGTAGCCGCCGTGTCGGGATCCTTAGCTGTCAACACGAGGCTGTAAGAGTTTTTAACTTCGAAATTTAAGGGCTTAGCCAAAATCAACTGCACGTCATAACTCGTAGAACCGGCGTTATCTTCGATGTACAATTGGAATGTGCCTCCGAAATTGTCGACCAGAGCAATGGTGTCTTTTAGGATCCCGTGACCGCCTTTATCCGGATCGGCCACTGTGAAAGTGTCCAAGCCGGTTCCGACTGGTAGATTTTCACTCTTGGTCAGGGTCGCTGAGCCGGTCCAAGCCGGGTCGTCCTCGTTTGTCGGCTGGACAAAAACCTTAACGTGAATATTGACCGGATCTGTTTCGCCTGTGATTTCAGCAGTAACTATCAATGAGTACTCTGTGGTGGTTTCATAGTCCAAGGATCCTGTCGTTTTGATTTCAACGTCGCTTCCGTCCAGTTCAAAGACCGCATCTGTCAAAGCGTAGGTGTAAGTCGGACCCGCCGAGCATGCGACTGACGCAACAAACGTTGCAGCTGTCGCGGGTGTCTCGTCAACAAATGCGACAACAGTATTTGGACATTCAGGATAAGCATCTGTGGTATCGGTTATTGTAACTGTGAAAGTATCGGTGATAATAACGGTATTCGGGTCCAAGATATTGTAAGCCTCAACTTCCAAAGTAAATGATGCTCCCATTTTATCGTAATCGAGGAGTTTCTTCAAGACGATGTCTGCCGAAATGGATCCAGAAGCTGCAACTCCTGGCGATATTATGCAACAGTCAACAGTACTGGGAGTGAGTCTAAACCGAATTCCCTCCGCTCCGAAAAGTTTGCAATCTGGGTCATCCACAGTAACCGAGTTAATTACACTGCCTATAGCATTCGCGCCCTCAGCGAAAGGTCCGACATCTGGTACTGCCGGATTAAACACCGGAGCTGTCATGTCTTCGGGAATCGCCTGGACATATAGTGTCATAGCTAGTGCAGTGCCTCCCGATGTTCCAACTATAGGAACCTCATCGTCGGTTGGACAGTTCGCTGCGTCTTTAGCCATCGCGTTTTTATTAACGACAGTCACTTTTCCGTTTCCCGCGTTCACAGTGTAATCGGTGGATGTTGTCGAGTATACAGGAGTAGATCCGACGTCGTTATCTTGCGCTCCGAAGTCGTAAACTTCAACGTTCGCGTCGGATTCCTTGACAGTCGTGTAGTGTATAGGGTACAAGCTGTAGGGTTCGTTGTCGTTAACCCCGGTCAGTGTTAAGGTCAGGGTGTGAAACGAGTTGGTGACCACTTTAGAATCGTCACCCTGAAAGAGTTCATTAAAAACTCAAAAATCTTAAAATACTTAAGATAGATATCAACTTGCCTACGAATAAATTGCATTCTTTGCGTAGTTCTTATCGATATAGTTTTGAGCTTCATGCTAATTTTTGACCCGCTCCCTCGCAGCTAAAATTCTAAAGATAATTGTCAACTATGAGTCAAATTTGGGCACGGTTTATTTTCGAAACATTAAAACTTTCGACCAAAAAATGTTGTTCACTAACTATTCAGATATAAAAGTAGATCATTTTTTTGCTCAGCTAAATATGATAAAAGCTAAGATTTTCTTCATTTATAAAAAATTAAGAGTTTGACTTGAAATTAAGATTTCACTAATATTTTTTTAATGCAGGCCTTATTTATTCATTTCAAATGTTAAGATTTACCTGATCTATAAAAAGTAAAAATTTTACTTGTTCACAAGATAAATATCTTTAGTTAAAGCCGGATTCATACGTTCGATTGCTTTTTGGAACCTTTTTCATGTTTCATGTTTCTTTTAAAAAACATATTCATTTTATTGTGTTTAAATGGTCAGGGTAGGTTTGAAGCGAATGTCCCACGTTTCGCCCCACACACATTTTGCCCCTCTTAAATCTAGTGGCACAATTCGCCTCTCACACATTTCGTCCTCTTAAATCTATTGGCACATTTCGCCCCACATACATTTTGCCCCTCTTAAATCTAGTGGCACAATTCGCCCCTCACACATTTCGCCCCTCTTAAATCTAGTGGCACAATTCGCCCCACACACATTTTTCCCCTCTTAAATCTAGTGGCACAATTCGCCCCACACACATTTTGCCCCTCTTAAATCTAGTGGCACAATTCGCCCCACATATATTTTGCCCCTCTTAAGATTAGTGGCACAATTCGCCCCTCACACATTTCGCCCCTCTTAAATCTAGTGGCACAATTCGCCCCACATACATTTTGCCCCTCTTAAATCTAGTGGCACAATTCGCCCCTCACACATTTCGTCCTCTTAAATCTATTGGCACATTTCGCCCCACATACATTTTGCCCCTCTTAAATCTAGTGGCACAATTCGCCCCTCACACATTTCGCCCCTCTTAAATCTAGTGGCACAATTCGCCCCACACACATTTTGCCCCTCTTAAATCTAGTGGCACATTTCGCCCCACACACATTTTGCCCCTCTTAAATCTAGTGGCACATTTCGCCCCACATATATTTTGCCCCTCTTAAGATTAGTGGCACAATTCGCCCCTCACACATTTCGCCCCTCTTAAATCTAGTGGCACAATTCGCCCCACATACATTTTGCCCCTCTTAAATCTAGTGGCACAATTCGCCCCTCACACATTTCGTCCTCTTAAATCTATTGGCACATTTCGCCCCACATACATTTTGCCCCTCTTAAATCTAGTGGCACAATTCGATTCGCCCCTCACACATTTCGCCCCTCTTAAATCTAGTGGCACAATTCGCCCCACACACATTTTGCCCCTCTTAAATCTAGTGGCACATTTCGCCCCACACACATTTCGCCCCTCTTAAATCTAGTGGCACAATTCGCCCCACACACATTTTTCCCCTCTTAAATCTAGTGGCACAATTCGCCCCACACACATTTTGCCCCTCTTAAATCTAGTGGCACAATTCGCCCCTCACACATTTCGCCCCTCTTAAATCTAGTGGCACAATTCGCCCCACACACATTTTTCCCCTCTTAAATCTAGTGGCACAATTCGCCCCACACACATTTTGCCCCTCTTAAATCTAGTGGCACATTTCGCCCCACATATATTTTGCCCCTCTTAAGATTAGTGGCACAATTCGCCCCTCACACATTTCGCCCCTCTTAAATCTAGTGGCACAATTCGCCCCACATACATTTTGCCCCTCTTAAATCTAGTGGCACAATTCGCCCCTCACACATTTCGTCCTCTTAAATCTATTGGCACATTTCGCCCCACATACATTTTGCCCCTCTTAAATCTAGTGGCACAATTCGCCCCTCACACATTTCGCCCCTCTTAAATCTAGTGGCACAATTCGCCCCACACACATTTTGCCCCTCTTAAATCTAGTGGCACATTTCGCCCCACACACATTTTGCCCCTCTTAAATCAAGTGGCACAATTCGCCCCTCTTAAATCTAGTGGCACATTTCGCCCCACACACATTTTGCCCCTTTTAAATCTAGTGGCACAATTCACCCCTCACACATTTCGCCCCTCTTAAATCTAGTGGCGTATTTCGCCCCACACACATTTTGCCCCTCTTAAATCTAGTGGCACAATTCGCCCATCGTAGATTTCGCCTCTCTTAAATCTAGTGGCACATTTTGCCCCTAATATATGCACACATTTCGTCCTCGCACGTTTCGCCCCTAACTTATTACACAGTTAATTAACGCCGCTTTCTTAATATACATTTTAGGGGCAAAATGTGCCACTAGATTTAAGAGGTGCGAAATGTGTGAATACCGTTTGAAGCAGATCAGCTGATCTCATTACATCGGCTGATCCTTTCAAAGTTAAGTGCAATAATTCTTATTGGAAATGTTTGAGAATAATATTTGAATAACATTGATAAATTAATTACTCTTCTTCTTTTAAAGTTAAAATACAGAGTTAGGAAATGCACTCACGTAGCTTCTGACGGCCACTATGAGTTCGTGAGTGCCGGAGCCATAGTCGCCCTCTCTGTCCAGAGTCTGGGCCAGGGTGACGTCACCAGTGAGGGGGTTCACGGCGAAGGAGTCGAAGCTAGAACTGGGATCCACCTAGAGAAAAAAAAACGATATTTACCGTCTGTTAGCTCTTTTTTTCACAAAGCGAAACAATACTCATTAAACGTAACAATACTATATAAAAAAGGTAGAAAACACTTTGATTCGAAACTACATTTCAGGTTACTCAAGATCTAAGCAACGCAATAAATTTAGAGCAATAAAAAATTTTTAATTTGCTTTGTTTAATGCATAAAAACATCGCGGCTTGATGTTGAAAAACTTAGCCAGCAGACAGTTGGAAGAAAACTCCTGCAAACACCTTTTTTGTTCATGCTGTTGCCAAATTTTATTTTTATTGCATTTTTTAATATTAAGTGTTAATTTTTTTGATAAGTGTGAAGAAACAATTTAAAGTTGTTTGCCTTTACTACACTGTATTACTGCAAACTACGTTAGTACTTGCTATGGGTCTTATGCACTAAACGGCCCAAAAACAATTTTTCTACATCGTAAGCTGGAAATTATGCGATCAAATTTGATTGGGTAATTTTAGCCAATCAATTTCAAGTTACATGGTCAGGCATTCCGATCAACTTTGTAAGCAGATAAAAATATTAGCCGAAATTGCCGAAAAGGTGAAACTTTGAGTCAAATTATCAAATTAATTTTGAGTCACTTGTGAAACCTTGCCCAGACAAGAAAAATTCAGTAAAATGGCTTGACAAAACAAAATTTAATTTTCTTTATCATTTTGGCTAATAATTTTATCTGCTTGAAATTTTAATTGAAATGGCAGAAAATGTCGATGGAATTTGATTGGCTAATTAGTCAATCAAATTCATCCACAATAATTTTAGCTAGAGAGATGTAGAAATAATCAATTTGGGCCGTTTAGTGCATAAGACCCCTAACTATTATTACTAACTATTATATTACTATTATTGTACTAACAAACTAAGTTAACACGTATGATGACATATGTTCATTTTAATACACACCTCGACCAGCTCGTAGTAGCAAACAGCGTGGTCTGCCACCCCCTCATCAGTGTCTAAGCAGGTGGTGACTGAGTTGTCGAACAGGACAGTGCCGATGGCATCCGACTCCGAAATTGATATGGTGTCCGAGGCGTAGTCGAATGGAAGCCGTGCATCGTTCACGGGCGACACCTAAACAGGTGCAACAATTCAAGAAATAATTAAACGGAAAGATGCAAAAATTCGAAAAATTAATTAAACGAAATGGTGCAACAATTAGAAAAAAACAAGGATAGCCGGTTACTGTGCTAGTAGCACAGAATGTTTCAAAAAGTTTTCACAATTTTTTGCTAAAATTTTTGAAGTTTTTGATTACCAAAATTGATTAAGAAAACTCAAAAAAGAAATTTTACTGGAATAAAAACAAAATTAGGCCCAAATTAAGCATAAATAAGCCTGCTCGCTAGCTATATTCTCCCGAAATTTCACAAAAACTATCAAATCATTTTTCTCAACAGAACTTTTTCAATTTTTTTAAATGCTCGAATCAAGACTGAAGGGGTTGTAATATAATTTATCACTCAACCAGGGGCGGATCCAGGATTTTCTCGAGGGAGGGGGGCGGTTTATCATAAAAATTTCGAAAAATTTGACAAATTTTTTTTAGATAGACCATGTCGTCTTTAGGATTTTCACACACAGTCTTGCGAAGCTATCCCTTTTACCGTGCTAAAGCAGGGGGGCACTAAGGCTCGGTATTAACGACAATCCCGAAAGGGTTATTTTTAGTGGTGAGTTGTCCTCTACTGTATTCTATTGCTCTCCCTTAGTCAGTGATGCTCTTGCTTGCTATATCTCGCTTGAAGTCGCGTATAACGAATTCCTTTCTCTCAAATGAATTCAATATATATAAGTCTGAATGAATACAAAGGGCCTACTAGTTCGGCCAGCATATAATTTAGTAATATACAACAGAATGGTTTGCGATCTGTACACACTTAACAATTTCTTCTCTGCGTACTCGGTCAGTACACGTGTCGACTAAGCTCTCTGACTTATACTAACTTCTGCTCTAACTAATTTTCCACAAGGCACTTCGACTTGCGTTCTTACTTCACTCGCTGTGAAACAATTAACTGATGAGTTCAGATAGCGACCACAACTGGGACCTACTGAATCTTACGCTCGTTAACTCGTTCTCTTTTTAATCCGCTCTCTAACCTCCACTTCTTCTTATCTCTATTTGTGCTCCGTTTTTGTTAATGTCACGCCACTTCATATCGGTGCTGTCATCCCCTTAATCACAACTGCCCCCTATGGTTTTTCCCTTTTACCTACTCCCCCTGTCAAAGCTGACGGGTCCCAAGTCCGGGGTTTTTATCGACTTGTTCACCTTTTGTAAATACATCCCCATGCGGTTGGCATCGTAAATCGGGTAAGTACCGAAGTCGTATGATTCTTATCAATTAAATCCCCCCTTCGCTACTTACTTAAATAACATCTGACTTCGGTGTCAAATCTTGACCCAAGCAACAAAGTCATATGACCCCAATAAACTAACCATAACCCGATTTTGAACCAAATTTACTAATATTTTCACTATCATGTTAGGATAAAATGCGCAGAAAATACGCTAAGTCGAAAATTTGCTAGAATTACCAATTCTACAGTCTTCCCTTCTAGTCTATTATTCTCCCGAATAATGTTAGGTTTTTCTTTTCCCCTTTTTTTTCTTCACTAAATACTGAATTACTGACTATATACAATCTATACTTTATTTAGGTATAAGCTATAGTTAAGTTTAAGTTTGAGATATAAGTTTAATCAGTTCCTTCCTTTATAAATTCCTTGGTTATTAGCGAGAGTTTATAAACTGTCCCCTCCTAACTTTCGGCCCCCGAATTGGTTGAGGATTCGTCATATTCGTCTGACCAATTCCCCTCTCCCCATTGGGCCTGGAGCGCCCGATATTCTTCCTCGCCAATGGTATGTCTGATTTCGTCAAAGAGGTCCCTAATTTTGGGCCTATCACTCGGCCTCCTCCTCCTAGCCCTTGCTATGTCGGAGAGGGAAATTGAGTGGGTGCTTGCAGAGTCCTCATCACTCTCCCAACTGAGAAATCTCTCCCGCCCAGACTTCTCCGAAGGCGGTTGACCCTCGGTCGAGCAAGTGTCAGTTGCCGTGTCCCGCGCTGGCTCATATACATGAAATTGGCCCGCAGTTGAGCAACTCTCCAGATCGGGCTCCCCCAGATTGAACTTCCAGAGAGCTGTGCTCACATCCGGCACCGTCTCTTCGACTCTAGGGTAGTGTCGGAAAGGCCGTGGGGCACCCTGCCTTCGCAGAAACAACCGGAACTCATGCCAGGAGGCGGTGTATGCCAATAGGTGCAGGGAGGCACCACTCTTCAGTGAAAGAGTTATATACTCATCTTCTTCCTGGTAGTCTAGGATGGTGAAGAAGGCTCGGAGGATGAAGGATCTCCACACAATTGTCATTTTAGCGACTTTTTTTTTCTTTTGTAATTTAGAGAATTTATTAAAATTCGAAGGTTTCTTAACGACTGAATCTTGGTAGTAACAATGCACGGTTTCAGCCTTCGTGGTTCTCTTTTTCCCTTATCTTCACCTGTTCAGATGTTCGTATCGAGGTGACACGACGGCCCGTCAATCAATCGGTTGCCTTTACTTAAGATTGTAATCTGTCATGTTCGTCGGTTAACCTGCAAGCCTGGTCACGAAAGTCTTGTATGCTAAGAATTAGCCTGAGCTTGCGCTAAATTAACCTGATTAAGTGTTTAATGACCCTCACTAAATTGTATCGTGTGATCGCAAACCTCTAGTCAGTCCCCGTCAAATAAAAGCACGTATGATTATATCATGAATGAGGGGTCAGCTGATCTGACTCGGGGACATGACTGCTATCAAGTTACTCCTCACGGTGTGATCCAACCTCATCCATTTAGATAGATATGAATGTTTGAAACGAAATAATGATATCCATGAGGTGGGGTCACACCCTAGTATAGTAGCACCGAATACGATGAGCATTATATTGAGTTCATGAATATATAAAATGTTTTAGACTCACAACCGGTCGGACTGGTTCTCACCCTCCTGGTCGCCTCATCCTCCCCTCCTCACAGACTGGTGTCCATCAGCGCGCTTGTACCGATCCGGGGTCCACGTCCAGAAACCCCCTTCCACTTGCCTCGCATATAGTTAAAGCCTCGTCCCATCAGCGGTGTGCTCGACGCCCCACTTCCCTCTGTGGTCCTGGTAAGGTTCACTTCATCGAATGATGACCTAGCGGGTACTCTGGGGGGTATGTATATCTGCCCAGAGAACGAATCATCTCTGGAGGGTCCCTGGGGATAACTGTTGGGTCTCTGTGATCCACCCTCGTAGTTGGGATCGTATCTAGGTGGCGGCACCCCTCGATGTCGTCCTGGTGGCGCACAACAGTAGGAGTCCTCGAAGTCCGCGCCTCGTTGGCGACGCCTATCAATTCCCAGTAAACGCGCCCTCCCTGAAAAACAACGCCAGTACGCGCAGCCCAATATTAAAAAGACTGCGACCAACAGCCAGATCACCAGTCCTAGTTGCACAGGTCCACTGCGCATCATCTGCCAATGAAAAGGGGTGTGTTTGCGTAAAATTTCATCAGCAAAGGGCTTGGCAATCTCCGATAGGGCTTCTTCGTCCACCGACCCCTCTGGCAACTTGATCAGATTGAGTCGGAGTGCTTCGACCATCTCGCTCCTCGCCTGCTCTCGTAAGATCTCCGGTATCATGACTCCTGGGAGGTTCTTTTCAGCTTCCTCCAAAGTCGCAAACAAGGTCCGGATCAACGGGTGTTGTCTGATCGTCACCGTTAATCCAGTCTCGTACTGGCAGGTGCGTGGATCTGGCACTAGAACCAAAGCACCATCTGGCGTTTCGATCCTACCATCGCAACTAGGTCGTAGAAGGCAACTTCTGCAACCGGATATGGGTTCACCCCTCTCCTTAGCTCCTCTGCTGTAGTTGAAAAGCGTATAATCATCGTCCCTTGAGGTTACCAAATAAGTTGAGTCGTCCAGGTACACAGCCGTGGGGATTTCTGGCAGAACAATCACCTCCTGAGGGCACAACTTCAACGCATTTGTAGGCAAGTCGAAGAAGAGACTTGCTAGACAAGATGATTCACTACTTCGGGACATCGCGAAAGGTCGGAAGCAAAGCTTCAACCGGCTGCTTCCACTGCAGACAGCTGAGATCACTTCTCCAGATACTTCTGCAAAGTTGTCCCGTCTCTCCGACACCAGCAAGTGCGTATTTACAAACTTATACTGAGTCGCTGTCGATCCCCCATTCGCCGGCTGGGGAAGAGGAGTCGTCCGATAGACGTCGTGCAGGCCCATCGTGTGGTGTACAGGAATGTTAATCAAAACGTTGATCCCCGTTTCCGTGATCACCGTCGACTGCACCAACTGGAATCCATAGTACGTCATCAGTTCGTTCCTGGGTATAGCCTCTTGCATCTTATCCAACTGAATTCCATCTAAGATACTCGTCAGTACTTCCGGGGGAACAAGAGTAGCGGGAATATATCCTCGCGTCAAGGAACTCAACGCATCGTCCAAGATATACCCGTAATTGTGTACCGCCATTTTGAACGCTATCAGTTCGGCTCTGATGGTGTCAAAAGTCGCTGAGTGGTTCGCAATCACTGTGGAATACTTCAATGTTTGTCCATAGAGGGAGTTCCACCTATACATCTTACAGGCACTTTCCTCCTTTCGTTGGTCGTCAGTCCCACCTAGAACATGCCTCAATAATCCCCTGAACAGTTCGAAGTTTGCATTCGAGTCGTGCGATATCATTTTCAGCTGGGTCTGCGTCTTGTTAAGAGAGTGGCCCAAAAGATGCAACCTCTCCCCAGTCTCGAGTACGATGGTCCGGACAGCCCCATCCAAGAACGAAGCTTCCTTGCCCAGCTCATCCAAGTTCGAGTCTCCGTCACAAAGACCAAAGAAGGAGAAGTAGTGACAAAACCCTTCCTTGAGTATCGGAGCTAACACTATGGCCGCCGCAACTCCTCCCAGCGCTGGCTTGATCCACCTTTTTACTCTCGTGGAGCTCCTTTCGTGCTTGTCGACGAACGTCGTAGCTCGGTTCTTCATCTCGTAGAGCACGGCCTCTATTTCACTA